TCTTTAATATAACTGCACGCTTCTATATGTTCATGTAAAGCTGAGGAGCACAAGCCAAAGAATTTCACGTGGCTACACTGTTTGTCTGTACGTGATAATAAAAGTTGAAAAATGCCACAGTGTGGACATTAAATAGTATTTTGCTTTGCAGTGTGTTCTATAAGGTGATCTGAGGAAACTGAACAGGTGGAGGACAAAAGATGAAGCGCCGTGGCTGATGAACAGTATGTGATGCAGATTTTATTTCCTATAGAAAACAAATCCAGCAAAGACCTGACACAGCGCATGCAGGAGGCATCTCGCCATCCAGCTGATCCAGCTGCTGTTTGCCTCATCAGAAATGGTCAAGAAGCCATTTTTAATAAAATGCCAAATTACAGTAGAACTGGCTGAAAAGCAGCGGCAGTAGGTTTCATGGAGTGATGAATCCAAATCTAAATGACATCAATATGCAACACTCTCAGTCATGGATGGGGCTCCCCAGAGCCTAGACCTCAGCAGTGCTGAAGCAGTGTGGGATCATTTTGACAGGAAATGGAACAAAAGGCAGCCGACATCTAAAGCAGACCTTTGAATGTCTTTCAATGAGCCTGGAGAACTATTCCTGGAGACTACTTAAAGAAATGAGAAGAAAGCTTGTCTAAAAGAGTTGAGGAATAAAAGTGGTCATGCCAAATGTTGACGTTCAGAAACTCTGGTTCGGCTCTGTACTGGATTTCCATGTGTTTTTCCAGAGAAATTGGTTGTTGTTTTTATTGCCATCGCTTATGGAATATCGTAACATTCACACTGCGGCCAAATTCTTGTAAATTCAAGCTCGCTGTCATCAGATCTCATTTGTGGGAATTTTGTTCAGCATGTGTGTTCAAACACATCAGAGTTAAATGTCACACTTACAGTAAAAGGTCTCTGTAAACTCAGCGATTCAACCTACTTCATTTCCCCTGGAGGAAGAACCTTTTCCATGCTGGTTACCTGCGAGCGACACCTGAAAGTTTGGAAAGGAACAGAGCGAAATAGATGAGAATGCTTCCCTTTCTAAAAAAAAATATCCCCAAATCAAAAGGAGATCCTCTCTGTTAAATAAACAATAAAAAAAGAACACAAAAAGTTTGCCATTGGTTTAAAGCGCCACATCAGTGCAGAGAGCCACTTTTAGAACAATGGAAACCCAACACGATTATTAAACAGTTTTCTACCAAACACGTGGAGGCATGCGTGTTGAACTACAGGAACTCGGGGTGCAGCTCCCCTCGCAGACTGATGCATTACTTTTCATCCATCCATCTAATTATTCCCTTAGAAACCTGAAATTTGAAGATACAAAAGACCATCCCTATCTGTCACTGAGCGGCATTGATCTTATTGAGAGAAAATGTGGGTGTAGAGGAAACCCAATATAACTCATGCCATTAAATTCCACACAGCATTATTCACATACAGAATTGACAGATTTCTGTGAGACGTTTCTTTTAATCTTCAACTGTTGTTGAAGAAAAAGGGGGAAAAAAAATCCCACACTCCAGGCATCTCTCCTTTCTCCATATTTGCAGTGAGGTTAACAAAAAAGGCGATTGAAGTAGGGAGAAAAAACACAGCCCCACCTAACTTGTTGATTATTAACAATGGGGATGGGAAGAAGACAGATGTGTTTCCTGTGTATCAGCGCTGTTTGAATTGTCAGTCTGAAATCACTGCTGAAGCTCTTATCAAAGCAAAGTAAGCTGATCAGTTCCAGTTGCGCTCGCTGTCCACGCGGCACCATTTTTTGCCAATAAATTCTCTTAATATTCCCAATTACAGACTCTGCGCGTGTCATGTGTACACGTGCAATGATGGCAAGCAAGACTGCGAGCAAATAGCCGAGAGTGTGCGTGTGGATCAGTGGATTCAGCGCAACCTGGCTGCTTCTACACACTTGAACCTTCTTACACTGCCTCAACAGATTGTCATGCAAATTCTGAGCAAAGTTGGAATACCAAATGTTTTAGTTTTGTTGCAACTTAAGAATGACATCCTAGACAGTGGTGGGCGGTATAAAGAGAAACGCAACGATTCTGAGCAAAAATTGCCATTAAAAAACAAACAAAAACAAAACCCAAGTCGAGATAATCGCGGGAGGCTTGGACAACAGGCCCACTTGAAGTGCGCCATCTTGCCCTATGAAAGCTAGGATCATCTTCTGTTCAACCACAGAAGTGAACTGGAGAGGTGGATGGAATTTGCAACACTAAGGTGCAACTTTTTGGTGTAATTCAACTTCTTTAAACTAAACACAGAGCGATAACTGTAAATCTATTTATCCATCTAAATTATTCGGGTGTGAGCTGCATAGCTTTTGAGGTGCCTGCTATAGACATACCTGTTTTTCCTATAATATAAGCAGATGATGTTTGAAAAACCCAGCAGCAATTGAAAGTGAAAAGCTCGAGAAAGAGCCGGTACATGCACCGTAAGTTGAAACAGGAAACTTCTCCTGTGTCCGTAAATAACACGATTCAAAGTAAAGACAGCGTGAGGTGGTGAACAGTGTTGCCAACTCCTCAGTAAGGAAAATCGCTATTGGTTGTCCTAAAAGTCGCTAGAAGTCGCTAAATGACGTCATCACCTAATTTGCATAATTGGTCATGCTAATGTAATTGTAACCTACGCTGCTGGAGAGAGAAATAACATCGTGGACGAGACATAAAGTGAGCAAAAAACGTCCTAAATGCATTTAGAATTTATTTAGAACTACAAATTAAATTTCTTTTAGCAGTTATTGTTTTTTGTAATGTCTTTCACGTCTTTTTTTAGCGACTTTTTTTTTTTTTTAGAAAAAAAGTCGCTAGGGGGTCTGAAAACTCGCTAAATATAGCGACAAAGTCGCTAAGTTGGCAACACTGGTGAAGTTGCTCCTTTGAATCTCGCGGTATTTGACAGTTTGCCTTCACTCTTTGACACTCGCCCCGCCCCTGAGCTCCGGGAATGCTGGGTTGTTTACATTACAGTCACACGGGTCAGCGTTGTGGTGATGAGGGGGGCCTAGTAGTGGAGAGTCTGTCCGAAAACACGTACACATCTCGCCTGGCTGTGCGGCACAGGCGCTCTCTGCGAGACAACTTTCCAGCTCAGTCACGGTGCCACGCAGGAACAGAGGCCCACCGAGTCCACTTCTCGCAGCGACCTTGGAAAGAAAGGGAAAGGCAAAACAAAGATAACCGCCATAACCATCAGGAAAAAGCCTCAGCGTGAAGAAGGAATAGCTTAGCAACTGTCTCCCACTTCCTGGTAAGAACTGACACGGCGTTAGCTGACAGTGAACTTTTTGAAACTCAACTACTGCTAATGAACTCCTCGTAAGCTGTTGCCCTTTAAGCTTTAACTTCTTCGGAAAGTGACAGAAAAAGTTTGTAGTAGTCACCAGTTGCCCTTCAGACACAAGTTTGTCACTCATTTGAAGAAGTTTCTCGAAGTTCGCTAGCTAGGCTAGCTTGTTAGCTTCCTAGCATGTCGCTTTGCGGACTTTATCTTTGTAAAACCGGACAGTCCAAGGTGTCAGTAAACGCTTCCAGCTGCTTTGTAACGTTTATATTACAATGTGCGCAAAACGGCTTTGTGCTAAAGTGCTAAAGCGGCTAATGCGGTGCCAACATGACAGTGGACACTTGTTGCTACAATGTTACAGTCATGTTACACGTACTACACAACAGCTTTCAAACAGTAATCACACACAGTGATGTAGAAGAACACGACTGTCTTTACAGAGTTTCTTTACATCCTTGATTGTCAGTAGTTTGTGATGTGAAGCTATTTTTCATGTCAAAGGCTTATTTTGTATAATGTGTCAATAGTGATGTGTTACGTGTCTGTCAACGTCGCTTACTATACTTTGGATCTGAAGTCTCAGCTGTGGAGGAATTCCTAGTCGAGTAGTATAACATCCATGAATTTATTTATTTATTTATTTAGGACAGTGCATGTTAATGAACATAAATGTAAAAAAAAAAAATTACATGAATGTAAACATACCAGATTATAGCCAAGGGCTAATTTCCATCTGTTGTCCTTAAGCATAAAAAATAGACATAATAATTCATAAAAATTCATCATTCATAATAAAAACTCCATCACCAAACTTACACATACACACCATTCTGTTCCCAAATAAAACATTAAAACTATACAACTCATACATGATCACCATGAACATGACTGCAGCGGGGCCAAAGCAGGGTTGGATATGGAGTGGGTGCCTTTCATGAACCTCTGCTTGGCACCCATGCTCTGTAAATGTAAACCCAGTAGTTTACATACATCCATACTGTAATTTTCCCCTGGATGGAATTTTTTTTTTTATGTGTGACAACCAAAAGACATTTTGATAGAAAAAAAATTGAAATCAGGTAAATAATTTTGAGGTTTGGTCTGTTGGTCTCACATTCAATAACAATGTGTTCTGATGTTTTATAGATCTAAATCTAAATTGATTTGTCTTAGAATTAAATTAAATTAATAAATTTAATAAAAAATGAAAAATTTGAAGTGAATCTGCTTTAGTTTAGTTTCTTTTAGTTGTCATATGTGGGCTTGTGTTATTAAACTCAAGCCAAAGTAGCTGTCAGACAAATTGCAAATATGTTATTATATGGAAGTTCAAAAAACAAACCCACCTCTGCATTTTCTTTTTTTTAAATCTAGGAAAACATGTAAAGGCGTATTACAAAACACTTGTTTCTTAACCTTTTAGTAATTTTTGGGAAAGCCATACGTGCTTCCAGCTGTCTTTTTGTTCCACGCTGCCAAACACAATAAAAACTATACACTTGGTAGACGAGGTTTATTTGGAAGAGAGCTGCTAGTCGTTACAAAGAAGTAATTTATTCAAATAAAAAATAAATCGGAGATCAGGCCTTTCTCGTTTTACTTCCTTTGTTGTGAGTCACAGTAATTACTGCAAAACCTTTACACACTCATGGCGTCCACAGTTTTGTTGGAACTTTGTAATTTCTCATCTTTAATTTTGAACGTATTAATATTAAAAATACAAATTATAATAATAATGGCATGAGTAGAAAAACAAGTTGGGGGAAAAAAGGAGTGGATACAAGCCAAAGGCACAACAAACAAAACAAATACCACCAGATTTCCCTGCACAGGTATGTGGGCGGCTTCATCTCCGCTAAGCCTAATCATCTCGGGGTCAGATGTAGGTTGAAAGCAGTATCCCGTGCCACGTTGCTGTCGCTGCCTATCACAGCCAAATATTTCAGGCGTCGTACTATCACGTTTGGCTACGCTGCAGAGAGATGATTCAAACCAGAGTTAGTGGGAGCTGACATACCTTGTTGACCCAATTATTACTCACTTCTCTGTTGCCACATCCGATTATCGTCAGACAACAGGCTCGAGTCTGCCAGCGTCATCAGGTGATTGAGATGAACACTGGCTGGCTCTGTGAAGTTGACTATCAAGGAATGTGTCATGAACCGGATGATCAGAAAATGGCTGCCAAATGTTTGCATCAGTCTCTGTGATGAGGGATTTCTGCCAGTAACATCCCACTTTGAATGTGAGCTGATGAGAGGGGGATTACTTTTGACAGGCTCTGGCAAAAATCGGCTGTTTAGCCCCTTTCTGTTGTTTGGATTTAATAAAAGTGTTACTGAATGGCAGCTCGGGGGAAGTAGAAACTGAAAATTGTTCATATTAGAAATGATTTAAGTCATTATTTATTGTAAGAGGCACTGACGATGCCATAAATTGAAGAAAAAGTTTTGTTTTAGAAGCACAGACATGGATATTTGATGGCGCCCGGGGTCCCATGCATACACATTGTCTGATAGCAACACGACCTTCAGAGCGAGGACTGAAATGCCATTCATCGGTGTGGAGAAATGTGCGGCACTGCAGCGGTGATTTAGCACAGTGGAATTTACCAAATAGCTCAATCTTGTGTGAGTTTCCTGTTTTAGCCCTGAAGCCGCCGCCCCCCCCCTCCTGGATTAAAGATCAGATGAGACATTTGTCATCTGACCACTTTTAACAGTCATCTTGCCTTTGGGTTTTCACAGAGAACAAAAAAAATGTTGGCTCTTTTCTTTGCTTTCACAGAGCATATTTGAAGGAAGATGCTTCCCGAGGCCATTTCGAGCTACATTAAACGCTGTCTTTTGCATGATGTCAAAGACCTTGGCCGAGCATTGTGCAGAAAAAAAGCTGGCAAAAGTAGCAGATCACTGTATAGGTTTCTCTGCTGCTCAGGTTTTGAGATTATTTGCACATAAAAAAATAGAAATATAATATAATGGTGAATATTTCTTTAAAAAAAGAGCATTTCAGTGTTGAGTCTTTCATTTCCAGGCTTGGAGTTTAAAATAGGTTCTTTGGCAGTGAGAGTGGGATGTGTGAGCAAGCTTCACACTCCTTAAATTGCCTGCTCGTCAATATTTTTCATATCCATCTCCCCTCTTTGTTATCAGGGGTCGCTGATGTTTCGAGTATTCAAATATCCTTGGTGGATGCCTCGCAGCTCCTTACGTCACGGGAAAGTTCTCAATTTCACTGATGCCTTTTCTCATTGGGTTGTGTAGTGCTCTGGGGGAAACCCACTACAAAGACATGCAAACACAAAATTACTGACCTAGGACCTCATTCAAAGTTTCTGAAATGCTTTCAGTGCCCGTGGGTCAGCTGATGCTAGGACCGTGGAGTATCATTGAAATGAGAGGAAGGGTTGATTCACATCTTTGCTGTTCTCTTTTTTTAAACAGTCTCTGAAACGCTTTATGAAAGAACTGTGTTTTTATATAATCGCTCTATTAAAGTAATTAAGTAACTAAATGGTGCAATTATGTAAAGGTTTTTTCAGTGTACGTCGAGAAAGTTAAACAAGACCTGTTTTAAAATAATGCTCATGTGCACAGCAGACAGAGCTTTAAATGAAGACTGAATAATTTCAGCACAGTTAGCAGTTTTGATTTGGAAATTGCTTTTTAATAAAGCTGCTGCAGGAGGTAAGCGTGGCTCACGCTGCACACTCGCTTTCGTTTTGCACAGTTTTGCCAAATTAAGTAAGTTGTGCAGGATCAGTAACTGACAGCACGTTTGCATTTTAACACTCTGTTTAGATGTTGGTAGACTAGCTGCTCATGCAGATACTGCAGATGTTAAGTAGATGAACAGGTGTTTTCACAATGTATATTAGCTGGTTATCTATACACCTAGATATATTACAGTAGTCATATACAGTGCATTATTGCATTAATACTCATTTGTTTTACAGTACCCCCAAATTGTAAGCATAGTAAAATCCACTATTGATCAGGGCTTAGCCTGCAGGTTAAGTCAGTGCCAAAGCCATCTCGGCATATTGTGAACTGTGCTGTAAAGATGGTTCTCCAGCAGCACCGTCGGATTTTTATCGGTGATCACTCCGCAGTCGTCCCCTCTCCCTCTCTATCGCTTTTGATTATCCACACACAAAAATAAAAAATCCCTCAGGGTACAAATTCACTTTCACAGAATAATTACAAGATGCTATATGCCACAGTAAACAGCACATCAGTGACAGTGACAGTATGCATTTGTCATGAGATGAGACAAAAGCAGAATGAATTTGCACTTATGAACAGAAAGAGAGGAGGCTTTTTGTGTGTGTTGCATGCTGAGTGTGCTATGGGCATTTGTTCCAACCTCACCACAAATAAGCCTTAATGTTTCACACGGGATTCGCTGCCGAAGAGAGGAAATTTGTATTAGAACATTTTGTTTTGACAGATTGTCTGTTTTACCCTTCCCCTTTTTAGTGTGAAAATCTGGGGACATTTTTCGCTCTCTCTTGCAGTCTTTGTTCTTTTTTTTACAGTTAGTTTTTTTCCATTTCTAGTGACGTCAGAGATAAAACTGCAGGATTCATTTTAGGGAACTTTTTTTTTTTTTTGTCGTTGTGATCAACCATAAAATAGATGATTTGCACTGTGTTCACTGCTCCAAAAGAAAGGAAGTAAATGCCCCATTCAAATGCTGATACTACCCCATTACCATGATATCGTCAGAGCAGCAAGGAAAAGGAAATTGCTGTGACCCGTTGCTCTCTGGGTCAGAAATAGGGCTGTTGGATATAACGATATAGATCGGATGACGATATGAAAACGTCTGTTTGTTTCGTGGTGTCGCAAAATAAGCTGTTTATTTGATGGTCACTGTAGAATTTCTCTCTTGTATTTAATATCACCACACTACGGACGGACAAGCATATGTTTTATGCGTTGTTGTTAGCAACAACGACG